CATACATATGTGTAATAATTTAAATATTTTTTGTAACTATGTACATACATACGTGCACAAGCATAAGATTCCTGCCATTTTCAGCAAATTTGCATTGCCATTAAGTTGAAGTGTCGTTAAGTTAAATTTGGCCAATATCCGCTGTAGCTAACCAAAACAGATCGCAAAGGAAAACTGACAAAAAAATTCGTTTAAAACAAACATTTTGACAAGTAATGATATCGTATGTCCCACTTAGTGGACTTAGCACATTTACGACCAGCACTTGATCCATGGAAACTATACTACAACGATAAAGACATTCTATAGACTATGCATATATACAAACATACATATGTATATGTATGTATATAAACATGCTTGCGAGTAAATTATGATGCTCTTGAAGCGGCTTATCACCTAAGCTAAAAGCGTGTAGTACATTCATAATAACTCTGTGTGTTAAGTAAAGCACGCAGGCGTGGAAGAAGATAAACACAAACAAATTTACTTACGAGTATGAATAAACAATGCCTGCGAAAGCAATTAAGTGTTAAATTTTAGAATTGTAACAGTTGTGAAAATATTTACCAACCCATCGGCTATTCCCAGCCACGAAGCCATTGATGGTTTTCGCCGTTCATAAAAACATACACACACACATATGTAAACATACATAGATAGCACTTAGTTGGTAGTGTTTTGCCTTTATGTGCTAACATTTTATCCCTGACATTCTTTTGCACATAAATACAAATTCAAAAGATTCAGCATTTCTGCACTTAATTTTTCACCTTCTTGTTTCATTTCGTATTTATGGTATGTATCGACGAGTGTGTACATATATTTCTTAATCTTATTTCAATATTTGTTTTTTCTTCTCTTTTCGAATTCGCTTAAAATAAATCCAAACAACTTGTTTGTATGTATGTAGGTATGAATGTATGTTAGCATGTATAGGAAATTTAAGTAAACTAAAATTTTGATGAGAACGCGAAGCTTATTAGCCGTCATTAATTTCGGCGTAAATAACCCAACTTAACTTTTTTGATATGCTCACTTAAAATAGGCCAATGTATTTGAAATTACATAAAACTGCTGATGGTTTTAGTTTGATGGGTTGTTTCCAGCGACCGGAACTAAATTTCTTTTCATAGAATTATCTACTTAGGTACATATAAAAGTATGTGTATTAGGGTGGCCCTTAGAAAACGAAATGAACGTTTTTTTCAGTCTTACCCCCTCAATCGGTAATGCCACGGTCATAGATATCACATATAAATTTTGGTCCCAATTGAAGACGGTTAAGGCGTGTCGCACAGGGGGAAAAGTTCAGATTCCTCTATGGAGAGTCAAAAAATTAAAACTATTTTTTTTCATCTAATACTCAAAATCGAGACTACAATAGTCGAAGATGTAGATAAATGTTGGCCCCGATTGGAGTCGGTTAAAGCGTGTCGCAAAGGGGTCAAAGGCCAGAAGCCTCTATGGAGAATCAATAATTAAAATTCGTTTCTTTTGTATTTAATACTGGAAATCAATACTACTAAAGTCGAAGATGTCGTATATAAGTTTAGGTCCCGATTGGAGTTGACAGCTTCTCATAAAAATACAATCGCCGTTCGGAGTCGGCGTAAAACTGTGTTGTTTTTATGAAAAAAAAACCCTACCAAACTGTTGAGTTGTCACTGACAATACGGAAAATGCTCGTGGTGGAAAAGTGGCACTGCCATTTTTTTGAAATAGGCCCTTATGTGACCAGTAAAGTGATCCAAAAATGTATGTAAAAAAAATAAGGTCGGATTTTTAATGCCGCCACCCCCTGGGATTGTTATATACCGAAAAAACTATATACCATATTATTTTAATTTGAAATCAAAAAATATTTAGGGGGTGCTCAAAGCGCACAAAGTTTTCCATGTATTTTATATGGAGAAAAAACAATTTTTGGTAGAAATGGTATAAAACTCTTGAAAATCAATATTTTTCGAACGGAAAACTGTGGTTCTCTTCAGGAGACTTCCAGTATTAATAGCCAATTGTTTATTTAACCATTTTTCATGATAAACGATTTTTTATTGGTCCCCCCATTGCATTTTCTAACGGCTTTGGAGGACATATAAAATATAGTTACCATGAAAAAATTGTTAAAAAAACAATTGAGTATTATTACTGGGAGTCTCCTGAAGATAAGTAAAATTTTCCGATGGAAAAATATTGATTTTCAAGAATTCTACACTATTTCTACGAAAAGATGTTTTTTCTCTATATAAAATACATGGAAAACTTTGAGCGCTTTGAGCACTCCCTAAATATTTTTTGATTTCAAAATAAAAAAATTGGGGTATATTTTTTTCGATATAGATTAATCCTAGGGTGTGCCGGCATTAAAACTACGACTTTTTTGGGACCACTCTAGTGACCAGGTTAGCGTTTTTTGCGGCTAGATCTAATATTTGCATATGCATTTAAAATTGTGGAATAAAATCACAAATGAAAAGGTGACCCCGTTTGATACATATTTGTTGCAAAAATGTTGAAAAATTCAATTTTTTAAATCATCTACCTCAATGGTGTCCAACCGAGTTCGCAATGAGGTTCACTTTGAAACCATGCTATGCTTTGCGGGCAGCGACTACATTAACTTCAATCTTAATTGATCCCTATAAAACCCTTCATTTATTAATAAAATTTATACAGCTCGATAGAATAAAGGAATGCACAGAAATAAAGAACATTCGTTTTTTTTGTGACAACAACAATTTCCTCTTAATTGATAAAGCAGTGTTTCGATTATGATTCATAAATCGATTTTTTGGAAAAAGATAACATTGGTTCGTTACCTAAAATGCAGAGAGAGAAAATTTTTTAATATTTGAGAATAATTTAAAACCTTTATGCCTTGAAACAAATATAAAAATGTATGTGCATTTTGATTCCTAACAACTTCGGACAAAGCATTGGGTGCATTTTTTAATATTTTTTCAGCAGATTCTCTCCATTCTTATTTTAGTTCCATAGATCTAGTTCATAAAAATTTTACCGGCCTGCGTACTTTTATGGATTGAACTTCTGTTCGAAGCGAACTCCTTGGAATAAATACTCAGTCCTTTAAAACAGTAAAAAACTTGATATGCTTGTAATCGACCATTTTTGATTTGGATCATTTTTGTTTTAAGATGAACTTTAAAAAACCTTGCCATACAGCGCCCCACAATTTTAATTTTTTTAATTTTTTTTTTAATGAAAGCCCATTTCCTGTAGATTTAAATAATATAAATAAATATATTTTTTTATAAGCTTTTATCTACTTTCAAAGGCTTGTAAAAAAATAATTACTTATGTTTTTTTATTAACTTATATGTAATAGTACGTACATCTATTCCTTTTCAAGAAATGAAGTGTTTGAGTTCTGGTATCTCCTGAGTGGTACAGAAGTGGAAAAAAGGAAAAAGTTTTGGAACATCTATTTGAGGTATTGCCAGATTTAGAAAATGTGAATACTGATACTATTGATTTGCGCATCAAAAAGATATGTAAAAGGCTTCGACGGTTTTGGTAAAAGGCTCACAGGGTAAACGAAACCGTGAAAAGCAAGCATTCGAGTGACAGAAACTGTATTTTTACCAAAACATGCTACCAAATTGCAGCCTGCATCAACATGTGAATAGCCTGAAGATAAAAGCCAAGGTGGCAGATCACTCCTTGCGCTGCCCGTGCGATATGCCGCATAAAAATCGCCACCATTGAAAGGATAAGAATAGCGGCATAGGAATGTCCGGACATTTTATTTAAAAAAATTCTTCACCGAATTTTATGTTTTATAATAATTCCTAGTGAAGTTTGAAGTCATATATTTAAGAATAGGATCACATAATAAGATCCCGTGATGATTCTTCATATGAGCTTTGGTATTATTCTACCAACGTCTTTTGAATAACACATACTTAAGCAAATAGTAATATATTGACTAAGATTTTGAAATTCATTTATTTGTTCGTCACTCATTCTGAAATGCTGAAGTCAAATTTATAAAGACAAGTATGTATGTACATATGTACATATATAAAAATTCACAAACAGAATAAATGTCGCAATATAAAAAAAAAGTTTATATGCATCTAAGTTGAAAAATACCAATGACCAAAAAGTTGTTAAGCAATTCATAAACCATTAACCAAATTTATTTTCTTGGTGGCTCGTACGCTACCGGATTGCACTGATTTCATGGCACCAAAAATACCTACAATAATATTTAGCACACTTCTGCAACTTAAAACCTGATTTTTTGCGAAAAGTGTTTCATGTTATGCACAGTACAATGGAATACAAGCAGCAAAATAAGTCGAAAATGATCACTAGCACATTGCCGCATCTTCATGCCAACAACAATAACAAATTGTTTAACATGATCAACTTGACCGCACTAAGTCGCCCCTAAGAAGCCCAAGATACTACACCACTATGCTTTGTTATCAACGTCAACGTCAACGTCAACGCCAACGTCAACACCAATACGACCACCGACACTGCAACTGATACAATAACAACAATAGATACACCTGACTTGTGAAGTGATATCTACGGCTAGGCGTAAACCCCCTAACTCAGCCGATTGAGTTGTCGACCAACTTACCACTGCCATCACCACTACCACAACAACCACTTGAGTATAAGCGCTTGACACAACAACAACAACACATAACAAAAACTTCTCGACCGATACACATCCATACATACTCATCGTAGATTAGGCGATCAGCGAACAAGCGATCGGATCGAGCAACAATAGAAGAGCGTTCCGAATTAGCAGCAATCATTAAGCGTATGTATGTATGCATGTACCAACAAGAACTACAAATTCTACACAACATTCGAGAATACAAACACACACACACACATACTCGTACATTTGTATGTATGCATGTATGTATGTATGCTGGCTCAGGCACACAACTATTAAAACATTAAAAGACAGCACATTTGAATTGTCTTTAAAATTCGGTGTAATTATTTCTAGGTAAACTGTTTGTCTACTGGCTTCATACAGTCAACAACGAACGCACTCTGATCGGCGGCAAACGACGACGACGACGACCACCAGTGCGAATGAGTACTTATTTTCTAAATTCATAGATTCTTTTAAGTTTTGATAAGTGACGTAGTACGTGTTCGATACGCGACGACGTTTTATTATCCTTGCGCGTTGAAAAAGTTTGCAGCAAAGCGGATAAAAGGTGCGGTGTGTCAACGAAAAATAAATGTAAAATTAAGTAAATTGTTACAAACAAAAAACTATTTATTTAAAACATATAGATAAAAAAATACTCTCAAGAACATTGTGAAAGAGGAAAGCGCGTACGTACCTTTTGTGAAATTCATAGTTGTGAATTTTGCAAAACAAAAGGATTACGAGATTTAAGATAATAAGTTAAGGTGAGAGAATATAAACAATAAACATTTATGGATATTAAATAAGTTAGTGTCGATAATTTGAAAACGAACAGTGGAACTTATGAAACAAAAAAAACAAAGAGACATTATGTGCTAAATAGAAAAGTGAGATTGAATTGAAAATAAACATTATTGACTATAAAAGGAAAAGAACTGCGAAATAGTGGTTAGCAATTCGGCAAAGCATTATAAAAATAAAAAAAATAAAAAAATGTTATTGAGGGTATTCACGAGCTGTCATAACTCTCATGTTGTTGTTATAAAGTTATGCGTTTTGAAGGGTTTGAAAATGTTTTGTAGCTACTGTGAATCACCCAAAAATATTTTTGGCCTTTAAAAATGTATGACATTATGACAATATCATTAGCTACGACACACGGTGAATCCCTTAAATATATTATTTTGTGAAAATCAGACGAGGTATTCAAGTGAATACAAGAGTTCAATGTTGTGTCAGGTCTTACAATAAAAAGTTAGCTTTTTTAGAGATAGCTTTAAATGAAAATTATCTGCATTATAATAGCTTGATACCAAATTGAAATTCCCGATTTCGATTTAAAATTTTAACTTTTGACACGATTGGTCTCGATTTGAATTCCACTTTCAGTTACGCTGCGGCTTACAATTTAAAATATAACTTGAATATTAACTTGGTTTTGAGGAATATTTATTTTTATTTTTTTATCGGCCATTAATTATTTTGTTCAAAAATCATTCCCAGTAAGAAAAGTTTGGAGCCACAATCTTGATATTGAAATAAAATTTCAATTTCTTCTATGGCCAATTTGAGAAAAATAACGGAATTTCAGCTGGAATCAGGATTGGTGTCCAAACTTCACGATTCTGGTTGAGTGGAAACTCATTTTAGACATTTAAGTTTTTAGATAACATAGAGTATATATATGTATATAGCTTTGCGTGAAATATGGAATATTTTGGATATAATATTTTCTAAATCGCGGTCATGGTTAGATCGAAAATGACAGTGGGTCAAAATAAGCATCCTCACAAATAATTATTATTTTGCTGTGTGTAGCAAAGTTCTGAGGTTGTTTACTTTTGCTTTGAAAGCAATAATGGCAACAATATGCAAATTTAGAAATATGTCATGCCATTAAAAAAACCTGGATAATTTGTTACCTAATTGTTAACGCCTGTATTGATATTTGGTAGTTATTATTTAATTTATTTAGTTTAAAATAGAAAAAACTCTAGAACATGATTTCTGTATGGATTTAAAAATTTAAATTTTTGTTATTTTTTCGAAAGTCGATAAGTTAAAATTTTTTTATTTCTCAGGTACTGTTTTCTTGGAGCTTTAGAGAATTTTTCTGGTAAGGTTCTTGGAACTTTTCTGGACTCTTAAAAAAATTTTCGATATCTTTTGGAATTATAAAATCTAGAAAAATTAAAAAAAAAATCTATACATAAAAAAATATTGTTTTTTTGATTTTTTTTTTTTTAATTAAGTACTATAAATACTTTTTTTTTTAGAAAATTTATTAAAAAATGTATGTCTACTACATTAATTTCTTTCAATTGGTTTAAAAAAGAGACATTTATTAAACTCACCATTGAAAAATAAAAATAATAATTTATTTTCAGAAAAAAAATTAATTTTGGACCAACATTTTTTCGTCGTCGAAAAACAATTTTTGTAGAAAAGAAATTTTGAAATATAACAATTTGATTTTTATTTTTATGAAAAATTATGAGATTGATATATTTCTTTAACAAATTGAAAAAAATTAATTTTTGTACACATTTTTAAAGATAATTATTATTTTTTGATATCAGAATTTAATTACAATTTACAATACAAATCCTGAGTTTTTTTTACCAATTCTCTATAGGCTGAGGAGTGTTTAATAACCTAAACTAAGAGTGGGAAAACGCTAGGCTTTGGCCTATTTTATATATTTGTATATGCTTGTAAAAATATACATATTTAGAATTTGAGAAGAACTTTATACTATGTAACTTATCAAATACTTACATATGTATGTACATTTCGCAATGTTTTTATTTTATTTAAGACCTCTAATTAAATGTGTATAATAAAATGGTTCACTCAAATAAATGCACACATAGCGTTACGCTAGGAGGGAATGCATAAGTAAGTACCATTAGGAAATTATTATAAGACCAAAATTAAGGCTTCTCTAACAACACAGTTTTCATATTAAGTAACCAGATGATTTCATTCTCTGCCAACAGTGGTAGAACAGAGACGAGTTTTAACTTACCGGCAAAAAGGGACAGAGTTGCACTATATTTAATTAGTCAAATGCCAAGTCCAAATATCAAATAAAATTGATCTCTGAATTGAGAGATGTATCAAATTTTAGGTGAGGTTAGGTTGCGGTGATTGCTACTCCGCACATTCCGACAGAGAGACAATGTGATGCCATTATTTACGAGCTCGTTTGATAGAACCATCGCATAACCTTAACGTATGGTTGAAGGTCGCGGATGTCCACAGACTCGAGCTCAGCTAAACACCGTCCGGCTAGAATTAATTGAGTTTCTACCCTCGCAAGCTTTCCTGCCGCGTTGTTTCCCGGTATTGCACTGTGCCCGGGTACCCATACCACGTTAATGCAAACTTTCGTGGCAAGCTCTTTAAGGTTCTTCTGATGAGTTTCTCGCACTGTGAGGATTTACATAATTGCTGCTTGGATTGTAGAGAAATTTCGCCTCTATTACAGCTGGTCTCCCTTATTGCTGTTAATTCGGCATGTGCATATCGCGCATCAGATCTAAAGAGCGATAAATTAAAAAAAATGTTGTACGATTTCTTTTCATAAAGAAATTCATAGAACTTGCCTACAATGAATGCAAATATTTTTTTCTTCATGAGATCGGATTTTTGAGTTAACTCACTATAGATATATGTAGTTGTGCGATATGCTAGTGTTGCCAGATAATGGCGTTATCTGCTATGAAAACCATGTTATTAATGAGCCTCAATTTTGGTCTTATAATTATTTCATGCATTGTTATTGTATTCCCATTTATTCACACTCTCATTTCACAATCTAAACATCGGGTTGACATATATTTTTGCATTCCAGAAAAACAAAAATCGGAATGTAAAAATTATTTAAGAATGCACGTCGGTTTTTATTTGTATATATGTATGTATGCCACAAAAAATTAATACATAAATTGCAAAATTTAATTTTACAACTCAGCCTTTTCCAATTCAAATTAGATTACAGAAAAGAAACGAAACAAAAGTAGAGCAAAAATCATGATAATAAAACGGCTTCAAAATGCAAAAATCTAATGCGCCATTTCAAATTACCATTACATTTCTGAAAGTTATGAATGCATATGTATGTCGTACGAATAATGCATAATGCATTTATGGCTCACATGTTTTTTTCCATAGAAGACTGCACTACTTACTGATCCTTAGTGTTATACTGCAAAATTGCATTAAATTGCATGCATCATACATACGTACTTTTATTCAGAATTTCATTAACACAGAAAATTTTGTAACAATGTTTCGTTGCTTTGTATTTAGAAATTTTTTGACCGATGTCTGACCGCAATACATTTACTAGCGCTAATGCATGCATATTTATGTATTTTATGCCAGTTTGCAAATATGTAGGCTGCACCTTTGGGTCTTGTTCTAAGTGCATACATATATTGGCGTGACTTAGTAGTAGTGCACTCATAGATACATATGCATGCATGCATGTATGTATGTATGTTGAAATTGCATAGTGCATAAGTAAATAGCAAGTAAGTTTTTTTGCATAGCTAGTGACTTAGAAATGCATGTAAACTTTTGAAACTTTAATCTGAATGCTATAACCTTACACTTACAAAGGAAGACCACATTGTTAAGCTAGTTGTTAGTCCTTTGGTACACGACCGGCAGATTCTTTAATTCTTATCGGTCCATAAATCTCTGACTGAATAGTAGCGTATGCATATATTGAGGAAAATTTTTATATAAAGTATAATTAAGTATTCAGATGTGTAGCAACCTCAGTAGGCCACTGGTCCTTAGGCAAACAACAACAACAATACTACCTTCTTAGGTGACCAGCGTATGCGAGGTTACGGTTGGAGAATTACTTTGGCTCTGACATCGTTAATAGTAGGCTCGAGGAGCTCTTGAGCATTGAGATTAGCCGAATTTGTATGAAAGTAATCGGTTCGAGGGTACTGGGTGCAGTTCCGAATGTGATATCGGACCATCTCCTAACCAAGGATTGGAAAAACTTTTTTTAAATTGCAAAAGTTCTAAAAAATTGTGACTTTTACAAGCCATGATTCAGCGAATTTATGGAATATGAATCACATGAATCAGTTTCAATGATGTACATTCATTTTTTTCATTTAGAAAATTCCTAGGTGTGAGAGCCCAACATTTTAACCTTTTTCTTATCTATTAGGAGACTAGAAGGTTTGGCAATAAATAATTCGTTTTTGATGCTATTCAATATTTAAAGCCGTCTTATGCTGAATTTCCACAAGGCATTAAATGACCACATTTTTAAAAATTATGTTGACCATTAAAACATACCAGTGGCATTAGGTTTGGTTAGGTTAGGGTATTTGAGAAAGGAAAAACCAATTTTTGTTTCCGTGTTTTCATAGAATTAAAATTCCTACTTTTTAACCCTAGAACGCTAAAAATAAAAAAAAGAATTGTTTATAATATATATATATTATATTTGGCGATTTTTATTCGTTTGTCATGTTTTTGTTTGTTAAAAAGCACTATGTAGAAATATTGAATAAGCAATATGTAAGAAATATAATACAAACTTGACAGAATCATGACTTCATATTTCATAAATAAAATTTCTAAAGTTTTCTAGTTATATACATACATACATATCGGAAGTAATGTACATCGTAGCATATAACTGTAATTAATGATTTTTCATCAATACAAAGGGCTTAGAATATTCTTATTCCTTAATTATTCTTGTTTGTTAGATAAATAGCACTCATGT